GGTTCATGCTTTTGTGTCAGAGAATATTGAAGATTAATTTGATTTATTTTATCAGGCTGAATGAATGGAGGCTTGAAGAGAAAGACAACAAGAAGGACAACTGTTCAGTTTTCACATTCCTCCATAAGACCTTGTTCCTGCGGTTGGTGTATGAAAAGACCAAAGGTGAGATTTTTTTTTTTTTTTTTTTTTTTTTTTTTTTTTTGTTATTTCATAGTCTGATGCGTAAATATTTAGTTAAATTATTACTAATTTGAAATGGGGTTACCATGACCAGTTGAGAAAAATTTGTTGTTTGTTTTATTAAATGTACACTCTGGATGGGTGTGAGAAAAGAAAACGAAGCTTGAAAATTTTGTAGGGCTGTAATATGCAAAATGTCACAAATTTGTGACAAATTGGGGGCCAAAACTGTTGCGTTGAAAATAGTTGAGGGTTAGAATTTTTAATTCTAATTCTTCTTTTAATGAAAAATTAATTATGTCAAAATTTCTTCTTTTTTCAGCTAAACACTAAACCAAATACACATTATGATACAACATTGTCTAACTTTTATATATATATATATATATATATATATATATATATATATATATATAAAATGAACTCTTGGTAACAAGATGTTTGTCATTCTTTCTTTAAAAAATCTTTATTTAGCTAAATTTAACATAAATCTTCTTTTGATGTTTTATTTACTGTCAGATTAAAGTAAAAGCAAACAAATGCTGAATAGCTTCTATTTTTAACATGAATTAAAATTAATTTTATCCATTTGTCCGTCCGTCTGATCATTCATACTTTCTTCCTCTTCTTTTCTTTACATTATTTTTATTTATTCTTACTAAAAACATTTTATTAGGAAGCTTTATCTAATATCTTTTTTTTTTTTTAAGGAAACGATGCTGACAGCAAATCTGAGAGGAAAATGACAAACATCAGCTTCAAGTTTAATCTCAGTGGTGAGAAAATAATCTTGTTTATCTCTAATCTGTCCCTGCATTAATTCAATCTGACCATGATTGTGTTTGTTTCTAATTTTGTTTAAAGCTTTATTTTTTTCCCCCTGCCAGATGAGAAGTCGCAGTGTCACGCTCGTCTAGTTCATAAACTAGTCTCGCAGTTCATCGAGGGAGAGTCTGACTGGGTGGAGAAATATCCCAGCAGTGGGCACGTCCCAAAGGTTGGTGTGAAAACACACGTTTGCTTTTAAGAGTTACATTCAGCTGTTATAATTCCTGCTTAAACTTTAAAAACAGATAAAAGTAGGAAAAATCCGCTTTAGCTCACACTTTTCTGGTCATAGATGATTAGACTGATTAAAATAATAGCACATAAACCCCCTTGCATGATGGTGTGTATATCGGGAAATTTGACGCATGCGCACAACGCTGAAGGAAAAAAAAAGACGATTCTTTTACATGGACTTGGTCCAGTCCATTATTGTCGCGCTGCCGCGGTGGAACGAACTGAAAGCTGGAGATGTAGGTATTATTAGTTTAGTGCAGAAATTAACGCAGAAAAACAACTCAAAACCACTTTTTTCTCTCGCTCTGTTTACTAAGTCGGCTACGCTATACGCAGACTCGTTGCCACAGCAACTGTCAACAACACCACTTTTCAGGATTCAGCACCGAAAACAAGAAACACTCAAACGTTTTCTGCACAAAGAACAGAACATTCAGTCCGTTACAGTACTATGTTTTCAGGCTTGATGCGATTAGCAATAGGTGAACTGTGGTATATTAGCTATCGCTGCTGTTAGCTAAGCTAACACTGCGGTGTATGATTAGCTAAGCACGGAGATTGAGGGTGCGTTCACACTGCAGCCTGAAGTGACTCAATTCTGATTTTTTTGGCAATTCCGATTTTTTTGCCGGGGCCGTTCACAGTAAACAAGGAGGCTAACGGTGGAGCTTAGCCTACATATTTGAAGTTGTTGTCCGGCCGGAGCAACATATTAACAACTTAATCCTCATATAGTCCGTCATGGTTGTTGTTTTTCTTCCCACTTGCGCGTATCAGGACGCAAAATAGTGAGATTTGTTGAGAATCAGTGACGTTCAGTTCAGATGAAGGCGACCTGAAGTTGCAAGTTGACGTATTTTGTCCGTTTTCCTGCAGCTTCTCCAAGACGTCAGCTTGGTGGTGAGCCGCTGCCGCCTGGTTGGAGAGGAGCTGCGGCTCCTGAAGATGTGGGGAAATCTTCGCTTTGATATCCTCCACATCAGCTGCTCCCACACCCAGTAAGTCTCACCTCCATTACCAATCAGCATCAACCATTTAAACCCCCAGTTTACTGCAAACACCTACATATATAGATTTTCTTTTGTCGGACTGTAGAATTTGGCTATATGAAGAAAACGGACATTCTCAGTTTTACTTTATGCCATATTTTCTGTCTTGATGGATGAGTGTTTTGCATCATTTTAAAAGCAAAGTTACGTTACATAATGCCTCTAAATTTTGACCCGGTTCCTATACGTTCTGGAAACATCATCATAAACAGTACTTTCTTTGCGCCTTTCTTCTTCTAGAATCCACGTTGTCTTCAGCAGTCTGAGAAAGCTTTCCAAGTTTGAGGTCGTCTTCGGTGTCAGGTTGACTGACCAGATCTGCGTCTTCCATGTGCAAAGCTTTAAAAACCTGATCGGAAACACAACGTAAGTGAAGCAGAGATGGAAATCAACAGGTCAAATTCAGTAAACTAGTAAAATGATGAAATAATTTATGGATAGAAATGACATTGAGAAAAGATTTTCAACCTGTGGCTTTAGTTCATTTTCCTTTTTCATCACAATTGTCCATTCCTTGGCTGGAAAAATAGTCTCATAGACTTTATTATTTAGAAAACTTCTTGATCAGAACTGATAAAAATGGTTATTGTCTCATCAATTAATTGTAAAGATTTGGTAATTCAAACATTTCAGTTAAAGTGCATTTATATTAAAAATCTAAATCAGAGCATTTTTTCAAGATTATTTCTTGCTTTAAAACTCCTGAATCTTCTCCACAACATTGATTCAGGTTTATTGAAGTAGGAAAAAACTTAAAATACAAATGATAACAACCCTTGATCCTCACCGTAACATTTCAAACTCTGTCAGAACCAATTAATTTTTAATAATTGTGGTTTATTTGTAGGATCCAACAGATTGAGGAAGTTGTGGCTTCGCTCAGTCCAGGAAGGGACCTGTTTACCAGGATCATCAAGAAAATTCATGAAACTCTTCTTTCGTAACATCAAAATGTCTCAGATCGCATTTAGGTCCCAGGTTATTGTAATCAAACATTGTAAATATAGAAATTAACGACATGATACTTTTGGCTACATTTTATAAATAAAGCAAATATAAATATGTTTCACTTACTTTTTTTTTCACATGATCAAATAAGTCTTAACTGTCTGTGTTTAAGTTTCTTTGTGAACAAAGCTTGGTGCATTGTGTTTAAAAATAATGTAAAAATTTGGCCTTTTCAGCACAAGCAGTGAAAACATGACATGTATTTTAATGGCAGCATCTAAAAACTGTCAAGTATTATGAAAATTTAAAACAAAACTTAAAAATTATCCTAATAAAAATTGAGCTTTATTTGATTTTCCTTAGAGATTATACTTTGTTTCCACTTTCTCCTGTAGTCTGAAAACAGTCTTCTAGTTTAGTTAGATGTTGAATATGTACATGTTACACCTCTGCCAAAAAAACTCAGAAATTTTGAGATTAATTAAAAAAACTGTTCTGGGAAACAAACAAGGTAATTTATGTTTAAAATTTGCTAAAAGAAACTCATAATTTGAGATTGTCGGAAATTTTCTAAGAAAAACGTGAAATTTCTAAGTTTGAGAAGTCTAAAGTTTGCTTGAAAAACTCAGATTTTGAGATTTTGAGTCAGAATAAACTTGGAAATTTATAAGTTTCAAAAATTTTCAACTTTAAGATATTTTCTCAGTTTTAAAACTTTAAAATTTTCATCAGTAATGGTAACCTTTTTTCTAGCAAATCTTTTGACTTTTCCTAGTGTCTGAAACCAGCTCTTAGTTTTACTGCATTTTGAGCTATAAGGACCCTCCTGATGGAGGCAGGATAAAAATAACTACACATTGTTAACATATTATTTACATGTTATTTCCTCTCAACAATGAAATATCCACTTCAACAATGGAAGATCCACTAAGAGTCACACGCAAGGGATTTCCTGGCTAATTTCCTTTGCTGATTCATATTTTGACTGTTATTCAAAATTCATATTTTGCATGTTTATATACTTCCAATTGGTTTTCTACTGCTTCTAAAAACAGCCGTAGCGTTTTAAAAAGAAAGGACAAAAAAACAGCAGTCCCAGCGGCACTCTGCCCGTTACCTAGCAACCCCCGAGGCGCTCTGCCGTCACCTAGCAACCCGAGCCAGAGCTCCTGCACGTTTGGACATTTGTTTTTACCGTTGAACTGGAGCAAAACCTGACGGAACCGGATAAAGAAGCAAAGAAATGGTATATAACTTTATATTTATAACTTTGATTGATTTCATGATTAATTTTTACAGGAAAAAGTTGGAGGATTTGCACAACAAACATGAGAGGAAAGAAGTTATGGAAGTTTTTCTTTTATTATTTCCACTTGAATATGCATAGAGTCACAGAAAGATTGAAACATACACTTATCCTAATACATATCTTAGCAATAATCTACACTACATTGCTCAGGATAAAAACAAAATTTTACTAAAAAAAATACCATGAATCTTAGCTGCAACTTTCCCTATTAAGGTATCTGATGTTTCATTGCATTTTCAGAAAATTCAGAAATTCAGAAAAGGCATTCTTATTGCAAAAGCATAAAAATAATATCCCATTTAAAATAAAATACAATACAGAGCCAGAGGTTCCTGGTTTTATTTAATTAAATTTCAAAAATACTTTATTGATCCCAAAGGGAAATTAAATATTGTTGTAGCTCAGATTTTTCAAAGAGTTATTGTATATGGTGATTATGGCTGTTGGCAGGAAAGATCTCTTGTAGCAGTCTGTATTACAGCGAATCTGAGAAAGCCTCTGACTGAAGATACTCCGTTTTCCCAAGACAATGAACAGGATGATTAACCTGAAATCTTTAGAAATGTCTATCTTATCAAAATGTTTTTAATCCTAGTGTATAAAATCAGTATCAGGAGACAGAATTACAGTATTTTACATGGATACTCTGTACACTTTTTCTACTGGTTGCAGTTTTGATTTCTCTGTCCCACCACAGATCACGTGTCTTTTTGTTTGTCAAAATTCACATACGGGTTCACAACACACTCCAGTCCAGTTTTAAGAGTACTGATGCTGGTGTTGGAGCTTCCAGAGTTTCCCTTGGCCTTGGCGCTGCCTGGTCCGACTCGGGTTGTCTTGTAGTAGTAGATGAACAGGAAGAACCCTGGCAGACACAAAGACAGGACGATTCTCACTAAGTAAAAATATTAAGATGATCATGATACCTTTTATTTATAACCACCTTTTTAAGACAAGTAAGCTATCTCTGCAGGGCAAATTTAAAACAGTAGAAGAAAAATGATTGCATTTAAGTGTTATGAAATTTGTCCAACTGAAGGGAGAAATCAAAAATATATAAAGAAGCATTAAATTGCATAAAGCTATGCATGTAAACAGCAACATTTTTTCCAATTTCTTTTTCCTTGAGCTCTAGCTTCCCATGGACAACACAAGCAAACCTTCTTAGTTTTGATTTAATCATTGCTTATTCCATAACTTTATCAGCTTTACTAAATTCATAGGTTGTTGAAATGTATACATTTTTATGCATTTATTCAGCAGGTGAAAAAGTCAGTTTGTTCAGACCCAACAAACTGATCATTTTGTTGATGTTACACCACTTTTTATTTTATCAATACTCTAAAAATCTGAGTAGTTTTTAATCTTTGGTTGCTAAATCCATTTTCTGCTTTATATTCTAAATGGAAACATTGAAACCAAACATGGGTTTCCAATCAAATATTCATTACGTCTTCTGTAGATACCACTGTAGTGTTTATATTTAGCGAATACAACTTCCCCTTTATGTCTTGACAGTGTCGTAAAACGTTATCAAGTCCATAAATGCCATTAAAAACTATAGTAGAACATATTAAATCCTTTTAGCTTAAAATATTTCTTTCTCCACCACATTTTTAAAGGTCTGAAAAGGCTCCAAGTTCACCAACATGAAATTATAAAAAAAAAAAAAACGTTCACACTTATTTGTATTATGTAGTTAATGTTCAACATTTTCTTTAATGTACTAGGGCTGGACAATAAATCAATAACACTTTATATAGTGACAGACATATGATCAATATTAATAGATAATACGTCTCAATGAAATCCAGTCCGATATCACGCAGCATTCTGGGGGATTAAGTCAGAGAAAAGACCAAGATTGGTGGGAACTCACTCACTCTTTGGTTACCTAGCAACAACTTGTTAAGTAACTTGTGGTTGCCTAGCAACAACCTGTTGAGTAACTTGTGGTTGCCTAGCAACAACCTGTTGAGTAACTGCAACTGCAGCAGTTTAAGTTTTTGTCACTGTGCCTCATACCTGCTTAAAATAAAAACATTGAGTGGAAACTGTGAATAAAACAGGAAAAGTCACACCACCAGTTTGATAATATGTCAAATATTTAAAAACTAATGAATAATTATTGATATTGACTGATATGAAATGCCAGTTATACCTTATACTTTTTTCATATATATATATGAAAATATGTCTTTCTCCTGCACATTTTTAAGGTATAAAACAACTTTAAGCTCTAACATTTGTAACACTTTATCTAATTTATTTATTTATTCTTCCATGTACTATTTACCACACACTCACCCGTTTTATGTACATGTTAATTTTCCTATTTTAAATCTTAAAGTTTCTTTAAGCTCTATATTTTTCAAGTGTCAAGTGAATTTGTTTTACCAGTGAAAATAAAATGGTTAAAATTCTCCATTTACAGATAAAAAGACACATTTTACATTTCTATCTTATAAAAGTGGCCGACTACCATTTTTATGAGCTAAAAATGTTGAATTTCATGCCCCATGTAGAAATTAGCGACATGTTTCAGCTGAATACCTTGAAATGAGTTGAGGATTGTGAAAATGTAGGTGGCTATCATCCGAAAGGAACCGTAGGCGAAGAAGGCGAAGCCCCACGTGACGCCCAGCTGACAGCACAGACCCAGAATGATCACTATTTTCCTGCCACTTCCTGTTTCCTGTTGGTTCGCTGCTTTGCTTCTCTTCATACAAAAGAGCCAGGATAACATGATGACGACTGTGGTGAAGGTGAAGAGGAAGACCACCGCATAGTAGCCAACGTTGACGATGTAATGGATGTTATTGTCGTTAATCCAGCACCTGTGAACAGTAAGATTAATCAGTTTGACATAATAACAATGTAAATAAGACTGCATGTCATTCAATGATGTGTTAGTCTCACATTGCCACGTCGTTCGCAGGATTATCAGTGTAGATGGTCTGTTTCCCATATTTCTTCAGGCTGCCGATGATAATCACCACTATGCTTGGTAGAACTGGAAAAGCAGTCACATATAAAAATTAAGTAGCAAAATTCATCTCATAAATTGTGTATTTATCTGTTTTACAAATAATCTCAAGTTATGACAAAGTGCTATATAATGATGCGATTGGTTTCCAGAAACTTTGATGGATCTTTCATAAATTTACCGAGTACTTTCCAGCAACTTTTCTGAAACTTACCAAGTACTTCAATGTGACTTTTATGAAACTTTACAAATATTTACCTTAAACTTACCAGGTACTTGTTAGGTTATAGCAAAGTTCTTGTAAAATAACCTCCAATTTGGACTGATTTGACATTCCCTAACCACAGTTGAAGAATTTGGCCTCCCAAATTGATTCAGATGGAAAATGTTAGGTACAACACAAAGTATTTATCTTTTAATAATGTTTTTTGCTTTCTTTTTGATTTCATAGTAAGTAGAACCACAAAAGTCCATCAAATTTTACTCAAAATCCACCAAAAAAGCTGCATTAAACTAATAAAAACTCAATACAACAAAGGTTTTCAAAGATAATAAGTAACAGTAAACAAGGTAATTTAAAAATAATAACTCTAATTTGGTGAACCTTGACCTCTTTCGACATAACCATTTTGGCCCATGTGATAAAAAGTTTGGAGTTTGCTCAAACTACCATAACGGTAGCTGGTAAGTTTAATGGCAAATGAAGGAAAGTACCTGGTAAATTTAATCAAAGTTTCATGAAATCCATAAAAGTCCTAGAAAAGTAAAGCACATAATGATTCCTGTAGATTTCAGGTAAGTCCTGGAAGGTCAGGCTTTATTATCGAAGGATGAACTCACTCCAGGTGGTGACAGAAACTTTGAGCAGGTAGCGCTTTATTGCGATATTCCCTCCTCGGTACAGCTGCAGACAGAGGTGGAAGCTTTGTGCAGCAAACCAGCTGAAAGTGGCCAACATGGAGTAATGCATCACCGCTGCCATTATCTCACAACCCACATCGCTGTTCAGCTTCGCCACAAAGTGATTGATGACGAAGGTAAAATTCAGCAGGAACAAGGCACAAACCAGGTGGATGAGGATCTGTGTGGAAGTACTGGCCTTCGTCTTCCTGTGAGGACACAATAATTAACATAATTATTTAGTTTACCTTTTAAGTATTTAAGTAGTTAGATGTTGGTACCATCTGGATGTGGTGCTGTTTGGTACCTTGCAACTATATTTTCAAATTCTAACCCAATCTAAATAAAGACTTTAATTCAAGCTGATTTTCTTGATAAAAAATATTATTTATTGATACTATAGGGAAATAAGTTTAAAAGTGTCATTTTAAGTTTAGACTACAGAAAAGCCTTTAAAATTATGTCTAATTTAAAAAGGAAATGCATTTGCAGATTGACTGGTGAATGTATTTTAACAAGCTATATTGAACTTCAAATGCATTTTCCTTGCAGGTATGGCTCCATTTCAGCAGAAATAAAAACATATAAGAATTATTGCCCAGAAACATTTTTACAACAATGAAAAACATTACCCAAGCACACATTTCACGTTATACAGCAAATTTGTGTTGTCGGACTTTGCAACAAAAATATGTGGAAGTGTACAAATTACAAATCTGCAAATTGCAAAAGTGATAGCTATTACTAGCTTCATAAGTAGCGTTTGTATGAACCGTATGCAATGTTTTGAATTATATGCGGGAAATTCCCCCATAGTATTGGTATTGTTTCAGTAGAGCAGAAATTTGCTGAGGTACTTCAAAATAACCGTCAGCTTGTCGATGTTGTGATTCGGTTTCGATAGGTCAATCTTTTTCAAACTGTGGTCCGCGGGCGCCCCCCAGTGGTTTGCGAGGTACTGCATGTAAACAACCGTTTATTTGCCGTCACGTGAGCCAAAGTGCGATGCTACAGCTAGCTTACCGAAGGATTGTTTTAAAAATAATAATGGATAAATGGCTTAAGACCTGGTCACTAAAAGGAAAAGCTGAATATACCGGTTAAAAGTTTCTCAAGGTGAGTTTCAGAAATTTTATTTTCGAACATTATTACGATACATAGCATGCTACGCGCTATGTTGCGAGAAGATGCCCATGCTAATTGGATCTTAACACCTATAATAAAATTAATTGCTGAAAGAATGTGTATGTTTTTGCCAACGCAACTCAAGTCTATTTTTCTTTTATTATGTTTCTAAATTACAAATAGTACTAAAATGTTATCAGTGCACACAACACTTGTAGTAAAGAACTTGTTTGATTTGCATGTGTTTTCTCTTTGAAAAGCTTAGAATCCATACTTCCAGAATCTGTAAATAACTCAAAATGTCCTGCATAGTAGTAGTAGTTCATGGTTTTACCCTGGCCTCACATTTACAAAACAGCGCTACCTTTCACATTAGGACGAACAAAGACAATGATGTTTTCATTTCAAGTTGTACATATTAAGATATATTATTGCGAGGCAGTTTCGAGTTAGGTAGTCAGTGAGTGTTTAATAAATGAATTAAGTGATTCTTAGCCTGAAAAGGTTTGAGCAACACTGTTCTACATATACTGATAAAAAGGTGGGTGATGCATTTGCATGCTGTGCTACATTTGTTTGAGGGAGTTTTCAGCTGGACCCCAACAACGAAGCCAGTATTCAACATTTACATCTACCTGCTGTAAATAGTTCAGACCAGAACTCACCACAGAGTTTCATTGGACCAAATGGCCAACTTATTTACATAAAATTCCAAACATCAACCATAATGAAACAGCAACTCCATTGATTCAAGAGTTTTTACTATAACTGCTGTTTTTATTTACTGCTACTGCATTTGTAATCCTTACAGCTTTTACACTCACTTTCTTTTCCTTGTAATCTCATTATTTCACTGAAATAAGTTGAATTTCCAACCTGTGAACTTTTTTTTATTGCATTATTATCTGTATTTTTATGTGACACCTATTTCAGCTTAGAAATGTGGAAAAGCTCTTCTACACTTCCAATTACGTTGCTTCTAAGTCGATATAAGTTATAATAATTTTAAGTGGACGGGTTTCACAATTTAAAAAAAAAATCTTCATGCTTTTCTTTGAATTTTGGTTGCATTTCCAGTCAATTTCTGCCAAAAGAAGATATTTATTTATTTGTTTATTTTCTTATCCATTCAGGTTTGATCTTTGAATCAATTAAGAACAAAAAACTTTAAAGTCCTTCACAAAATCTAAAGGTTCAACCACCAAGAATACAGAAAAGTTTGACATTTTCGAGATAAGGTACTAAGACCTTTTTTAATGATGTTTGAACATATTGAAAATGAGTATTTATATCTGATTCCTACCTTATCAGGCAGTACATGAAGAGGATTATGCCGAGAAAGAAAATGGACAATCCGCACCCAGCCTGCGTGATGATGGTGAGGATGTTCAGGTCAGAGCTGGAGATGGTTTCATTTATGGGAGTCTGTAAGAAGCAAAAACATTAAAAAAACACTTTTAAAAATCATTTTATTACATGATTTAAAACTGGTAACGGGAATATGTAGTCAACAGGAGACTGTATTTGAGGGTGGTGGTGATATTTGGCTGGAATCCATGTTTTTATGAATGATTAATAACTGACCATCAGGATAGCAAAGAACGTCAGATGTGAACATCGGCATTTGATGTGGCTTCCATTCACAATCGTTTCACATCCTTCATCAGTCCAGTTTGGTTTACTTCCTGTAAGACAGGAACAAATCAGAACAGTGACGATGAATTAAACGCTTTCTGCAGCTTCCATTTACCATCTGAAAAGAAATATGTTTTATAAAACCAGGAAGTCAGATTGAAACATTTTATCATAATCAGGCTGCAGTTTTAACTCGGATTTCAGGCAGTCAGAGGCCAAATATTGTCAGCAAGTAGATTTTTTTTTTTTGTTGTTGTTGGTTTTGCTAAATATTAAAACTTCAGTTAAAGAGGTGAAACTGAAAATGTTTTCTGCTTTGGTTGAACTTGCCACCAGATGTTGACTGCAAATTTTTTATTTACTGGAAAACAAATCCCAAGTTTTAAAAACAAATGAAACAATTTGTCTACTAATTCAGATCTCTTTTAAAGTAAATACTCGTATTTACGCACCATTTCTTATGTTTTAATTAAATGATGGACTGACTAAAAAGCTGTTTTAAAGTAAAGAGTTTGCCTTAAAAGTATATTTTTTTAATTTCTATTTTCCTCTTGGCATCCTGTGTTGGTAAATAAAATATGAAAATGCTCAAACCAACTAGCTATTGATTGGTCGTATTCAGAATTTAAAAAAATTAAAGTTACCGTTGCCATTCCATGAGTGACAAGATGGAATCTGTTTATTCTGCAAATAAAAACAGATCAACATTAACCAAGTGCTTTTTTTGTTTTGTTTTTAACTCAGGCAGCCATTTTAAAATTTAAATATCTGATTTTTTAATGAACTCACGAAAGCTAGCTGCTTGAAATTGATGTCTATTGTGTCAGTGAGGTTCTTGATTTCGGCTCCCATGTCAATCGCGAGAACTTCGTTTCCAAGTAAAGTGCTGTTATTCTCATCCTGAAAAAAATACAAGAAACATAGCAACTTCCTTTAAAAAATGGGTATATTATTAAAGAAAATGCTTTTCAAACCTTTACCTGACTGATATTTAAGATCCGCAGAACAACTGCAAACGGTACGGTGATGTTTGAGCTGACTGCTTTTTGAAAAGCTTCTTGAGACACGGTGACAGATCTGGAAAATGTCTCCAGAGTTCCACTGTCTTCTATGATCTGTAAGAAAAAGTTTTAATGTCTATAATATTTTGTTTATTCTAAGTTCTTTTAGAGGTGTGCCGATCGATCGGCCACCGATCATAATCGGCCGATTTCTGTGAAAAAGTGTCTGATCGATAATCGCCGATCACGGTCTCTTGTTGCCGATCACATTTATCTCACTTCGCTGCCTATTCTCCTCTTTCCTTCTCACTGCGCAAGCGCAAAGCAACAAATCCTGTCTGGAACCATAACGCTGAGAGTGAACGGGGAAGTTTGCGTGTTGGGGCGGAAAATTTACCTCGGGGGTGAAGCCCGTCAAAATGCATCAACACAACAAATCTGATATGACATTTAAAAACAAGCACTTGACGGAGTTTGGCTACATCGAGGCTCAACGCAGGAAAAAAATGGCATCCGGACGGAGCGGCCAGATAGCAGGTAAAGCAGCGCACAGCTACCAACACTCACCTGGATTAGCATGAGGGTCAGAAAGCTAAACAAATAACCTGAAAAATAAGTAAAGTCTAAGAGCTGGCGATGTAAGATGCTGGTTCTGCTCTCGCTGTTGAACCGCCTTCATTCGCTACTGGTAGTGATATTTCACATACGGAGCGCCATTACTGCTCCACCCGGAACGTCAGCTTAAAGCCACAGCATGTAACGTAAACAACAACAAAGATTTCACATATTAAAACTTAAGCTATGTCCAAACATGAGAGATAATTCATGAAAAAAGAAATAAGTAATAATAGGTCTCCTCTGCCTCCTCCTGGGTTCTGCAGAATTTCTCAGAAACAGCCAATCGGAATCAGGAAGTTTTGATTCAGTAACTCAATATTGTTTATTTTGATGCAACCAGCATTTGACTTTGAATGAATGTTTCCCTCTTTTACTAGACCTTATTTGATATAGGCAGTTTGGGTGAGACTTATTTGACTCATGTATAATTTAGGGTCTCTTGGGTGATCGGTATTGGCAGCAAAAACCTGATCGGAGCATCCCTATTAATAATCTACATAACCATAAACAAGGAAAATATGTCTATAATTTAAACAGAAACTATGTAAAAAAAAAAATTGAAACCGCTCAAGTTTGAGTCTGTATTGCATTATTAAAGATAAATCTAAAAAACTAAAGCAAACAAACTGTACAGAGTTTTTGCAGAAGATTTAGATTAACCTGTGTGAGAATAAAATGAAAGTAATCCACTTACTTTTAGGCTTTCTTGTGGGTCTCTGTAGGCAAAGGAAACTTGATCCAACTGTTCAGGGTCTGTTTTTTTCACGATTATGCCCTCGATTCCTTTCCCCACTGACAGTTCAGCTGACGTCCCGTTCATTAGGGATATTAAACTCTGCATTTTACTCATCAGTTCGCTGTGAAGAGTGAAGCATGTTTATGTTAATGTGTATTGTACTTTTTACACTTACAGACTTGAACAGAAACCATCTGATTTCTTGTTTTGTAAAGCTTTGACAGCACGATGATAAAAAATACAGCCGACAGACATTTTGTCTTAAACCGTGAGTCACTACAGAAAAAGAGTTTGTGCCATGTAAATTATAATAATAATATTGAAAGACTAGATTGCTGCAGGTTAGTGGAACTTCTGTACAGCAGAAAAAATATATATTTTCTATAAAAATGTAAATTGGTGAGATAACTTCTGTTAGCTTGTAAAGATTGATCTATATAACTGAAGGAAAAGAAGTAGGTTTGGAAACCTCTAATGGACTTTCTTGAAAGTAAATTAACACAGAAATAAGTGTTATAGTATAAAATTAGAGCCACAATGAGAAAAGTAAAAAAATGAAATTATGAGAATAAAGTCATAATAAAATTTAAGTCTTAAAATATTGTGCCTTTATTATTATATTATTTTGACTGTTCTCATACAAGTTTATTCTTGTAATACTACTTTATTCTTATAATATTATCACTTTATTTTATGACTTAATCTTGTAATTTTATTAATTTTTTATTAGAATGGCACTAATAATCTCTCGTATTGTAGTCTTTTTCTTTTTACAAGCACTGTTTTGGTGCAAGATTATGAGAAAAAAAATCTAAATAAATCTAAAGACAATATTCTGAATATTAAGATTTTGTTTTATTTTGATCAAACATTTTGTGGTAGCCCTGAATGTGCTTTGTAAACTTAAACTTCAGCACAATAGTCTTCCAAAGAAATGTGTATTCTTCAGGAATAATAACACAACGTTCTGCAAGGAAGTGAGCAGTATATATATATATATATATATATATATATATATATATATATACTGTGTGTGTGTGTGTGTATAAACTCACTCTAAATTTAAGTTTAGAGTGAGTATTAGCTACTGAGGAATGTCTAGCCGTGTGAAAATGTAAATTTAAATTGAATAAAGTAAAGTTTCTTACACAGCTGCAGATGCATCAACTCCTCCGTCCTCGTTTTCCAAAGGCTTTTCCAAAGGAATCTTCACTTCAATCTTCTCATCAGGCTGTTTGATCGGGTTGTCGCAGTTCACACAGCTGATGTCTTTAGTTGCGTTTATTGTGTACTTGTCCTCATACGCTGGTGATGAAAGCAGATAATGGAAAACACATTTAATACCAAACTTTCAAGAAAGAAAGAAACTTTTTACATTTATTTCTTTAATACTTTTTTTCATTACTGTATTTTATTTTTATTATTTAGCTTTTAAAATTATTATTTTTTAAGTTTAATTCTAATATTATTATTATAATTAATATATATTATTTTGTAATAATAATAACTATTATTTTTATTTTAATGAAAAAATAAAAATAATGCATTTTTATTATAACAAAATAATAAATCAATTGTGAAGCTTGTTCAATGTGTTAATGAGCTTATGAGTCGTATCAACACTAAGTTAAAATGTTACATAACGGTACATTTTAAAAGTGTTTACAACAGGATTAACTTAACTTCTGCAACTAAATATAAATGTAAATGAAACGTTTACAGTGTCTTAATTTAATTAGAAGAACTCACTCATAGTTTCACAGTAGGCTTTATTATATCCTGCATTACTTCCACAGAGACTCTTTGTGTACACAGGTCCTTTCTGGATACATGATGCAGCTGCAATAATCAGAAACCCAACATTAACCCAATAAAATGAAAGGAATTGGAAATTCATATTAATGACTTCTTTGAAATCAGACATCTGAATTAATGAGTGAAAAAGTAATCTATGTTCTCCAATAGAAGAAAAAAAAATTTGGCTTCAGTGTATTTTATTATATTTTTTACTCCCAATTCATTGATTTACCTTTTCATAGAAACATGCTCAAACAGGGTATTTGTTTGAAATTACCTTGTAGTGTCTTAGAGCAGTTTCCACCCATTATGTATAGTGTCACATTATCAGTTTTCACAGATTCTTTTGGGATGTAAAGCAGGAGATTATTATCTTTTCGTTCTGCTTGTGGCCAGTTTTTCCAAAATGTTTCTGTGGATTAAAAATAGACATACAGTGTTAAGAAATGCTATTGAAGGTTTTATAAAAAAAAAAAAAGCAATTGTATATTGTGAACATTAAAGTTCAAAAGTTACTCACTTTGTTTACTGGAGTCTTTCTGCAAAAATATTATGCAATTATCACTTCCTGTGGATTAAAAAAATAAGTTTTAAGAAGTTACTTTTATTGTTGTAAAACTTAACTTGGCTCAGAGAAAAATTTATCATTTAGTCTCTGCAGGTCACAGGATTTGGGTGATTTGTTCATTTGCAAGAGTCACAGATAGAATCAGTTTTATTGGTGCACAAACAAGACATTTGACTTTGGTTAGACATAAAATATTAATATATAAACTTTAGTGGAAATAAAATAAGAATAAAGGAACAATCTGCCAATCATCCTGTGAATCACCAATGCAGTAATTATTACTTTTACATTTAATTTAAAGTTTAAGACTGAAGGGGGAAAATATTTATTTTTTATAAACAGCCATGACAGTTGAGCTGCTCTCCATAAACGTACTAAAATTAACAGAAGTATTTACATATTCACAAAAGTTGAATATCAACAGATACTCACCAATGTTACTGCAGATGTTTGAAATTGAAGAATTACAAGTCTTTTTGATAGTATCAGCTGGTTGTTATCACCAAATTCAAAAGGAAGAATAACTCAGTTAAATAAATGCAATAAAGAGCAAACATAAATAATAATGATTTGGTCTGAAACTGAACAGATGCAGAACGTGATGTCAGAAATATCTTAGTCTGCAGCTCATCCATACATTGTTTTATTGCAGAGAGCTAAAATGTAACATTTTCTCAGAAAAAACTCATCCTCTTGCACCTTCCTACCAACACAACAATAATCTACAGTACAGACCAAAAGTTTGGACACACCTACTCATTCAATGAGTTTCCTTTATTTTCATGACTATTGACATTGTAGATTCACACTGAAGGCATCAAAACTATGAATTAACACATGTGGAAATATATACTAAACAAAAAAGTGTATTCTATCATGCCTTATATTCTAGTTTCTTCAAAGTAGCCACCTTTTGCTGTGATTACTGCTTTGCACACACTCTGCATTCTCTTGATGAGTTTCAACAGGTCGTCACCTGAAATGGTTTTCACTTCACAGGTGTGCCCTGTCAGGTTAATAAGTGGGATTTCTTGCCTTATAAATGTGGTTGGGACCATCAGTTGTGTTGTGCAGAAGTCATGTGGACACACAGCTGATAGTCCTACTGAATAGAGTGTTAGAATTGGTATTATGGCAAGACAAAAGCAGCTAAGTAAAGAAAAACGAGTGGCCATCATTACTTTAAGAAATGAAGGTCAGTCAGTCCGAAAAATTGGGAAAACTTTGAAAGTGTCCCCAAGTGCAGTCGCAAAAACCATCAAGCGCTACAAAGAAACTGGCTCACATGAGGACCGCCCCAGGAAAGGAAGACCAGGAGTCACCTCTGCTGCGGAGGATAAGTTAATCTGAGTCACCAGCCTCAGAAATCGCAGGTTATCAGCAGCTCAGATCAGAGGCCAGGTCAATGCCACACAGAGTTCTAGCAGCAGACACATCTCTGCAACAACTGTTAAGAGGAGACTGTGTGAATCAGGCCTTCATGGTAGAATAGCTGCTAGGAAACCACTGCTAAGGACAGGCAACAAGCAGAAGAGACTTGTTTGGGCTAAAGAACACAAGGAATGGACATTAGACCAGTGGAAATCTGTGCTTTGGTCTGATGAGTCCAAATTTGTGATCTTTGGTTCCAACCACCGCGTCTTTGTGCGACGCAGAAAAGGTGAACGGATGAACTCTACATGCCTGGTTCCCACCATGAAGCATGGAGGAGGAGGTGTGATGGTGTGGGGGGGCTTTGCTGGTGACACTGTTGGGGATTTACTCAAAATTGAAGGCATACTGAACCAGCATGGCTACCACAGCATCTTGCAGCGGCATGCTATTCCATCTGGTTTCCGTTTAGTTGGACCATCATTTATTTTTCAACAGGACAATGACCCCAAACACACCTCCAGGCTGTGGAAGGGCTATTTGACCAAGAGGGAGAGTGATGGGGTGCTGCACCAGATGACCTGGCCTCCACAGTCACCGGACCTGAACCCAATCGAGATGGTTTGGGGTGAGCTGGACCGCAGAGTGAAGGCAAAAGGGCCAACAAGCGCTAAGCATCTCTGGGAACTCCTTCAAGACTTGGAAGACCATTTCAGGCAACGACCTCTTGAAGCTCATCAAGAGAATGCCAAGAGTGTGCGAATCAAAGCAAAAGGTTGCTACTTTGAAGAACCTAGAATATAAGGCCTATTTTCAGTTGTTTCACACATTTTTGTTAAGTATATATTTCCACATGTGTTAATTCATAGTTTTGATGTGAATCTACAATTTTCATAGTCATGAAAATGAAGAAAACTCTTTGAATGAAAAGGTGGGTCCAAACTTTTGGTCTGTACTGTACTCAGAATGAACTTAAACTACAGAAGCAGCTTCACAGTGAGAGACGCTTCATATTTCTGGTTGCTACTCACCAAGTTTAGTGCAGAGGCCTGAAGTGAGAGTGGCACAAGTCTGATTTGCAATAAGACCATTCAGGGCTTTGAATCAAAATGAAAAAGGACATAACCAAAAATGTAATGAATGCTGTAAAGACATAGTAAAAACAGGGTAATAATAATAATTTGCTCTTTTAACCAACAAAGGTCAACTAGGGATTCCATTTGTTGCCAGAAATTGTTGTGAGAAAAATGATCCTGCAGGTTAATCCAAATGTTTTTTCTTTCCAGTAACCCAAAATGTTGACTTTGCTCAGAGAAAGGTTTTCCCTTTTAATGTCAAAATATTCTTAGAATACAGTTGGATAAGGTTCAAACATAATGAGTAATTTGACAGGAGTCCAAGCTTCTGGAGAGAGAGAGATGCATCTAATGGTCACCAACAGGTTGACTGCTGCAGCACAAAACCTGTAAAATGATTATTTTCAGATCTAAATTAAAGCTGAAGATTGAAAGGTTTTAATGTTTACCTTTTAATAAATAGTCATGATAGTTCAGCTACTCACCATAAACCAAGTGAAATTAACAGAACTATTTACATGTTGACAAAAGTTGAACTTATGAAATAGAAACTCACCAGTGATGCAGGAGTCTGGAGGAGAATATCTACAAGTCTCTATGTTCTCTGTTTGTTATCAAAGTCAAAGGGAAAAATAACTCGGAGTTAAATAAATGCAATAAAGAGAAAAAAGAAATCCATAACAAATATCTACTCTCTGAAACTATAGAGATTCACTACAGGCTCAACTCGTCGGCAGGAAGTGGAGTCAGAAAACTCATCCATGTATTTTTTCACCTTTGCTAAAACCTAAAATGTTCATTTGCCTCAGAGAAAACTGATCCTCTTGCACATCAAAGTTTTCTTAGTTCAGAGAGTGAAAGACAAACAGGAAATAGATTTGATGGAAGTTTAGACTCGAGCAGCTACAGCCTATCCCAGTTTAAACTGGAGAGAAAAGTTTACCCAGTAAAGATAAACATGTCATAAATGGCACAGAGGCTTTGCTGTAAATGACCTAATATCACATAAATGAAAAGTCAAAGTGCAAATACTTCTTACCTTCCTACCACAACAATAATATTCAGAATAAACTTAAACTACAGAAGCAGCTTCACACTGAGAGACGCTTCAGTTTTATTATTGATACTCACCCAGTTTACTGCAAAT